CGCGTCTGCTGCCCTGGAATCGGCGCGCCTCCTAAAGCCATCCACGGCTGAACCTTGGATGCTTTTGTGCTTTTTGTATGTATGTATAGAATATTTTGAATTATATTTCATGAATGAAACCAGAAGAACTTATTCTTAGTCTAACGCTGATAGTATTACAAAATTTTGACGTAAGAGGCATGTATGTGTTATCTATGGAGCATGTTGCATAGAAATTTGTATTTTCTTATTGTTTTCTGCAAGCCAATATTCCGTCCTATTCGACTGTTACGTAGATCAAGCTGGGTCATATTCTCTTTATTTTTAAGTTTATCATAGTTGTTTTGTCACATATCACTTCATACATCTTCTAGTTGTTGTCTCGTTTTCTTTTAATTTTTACCTGTTGTTATCCTCTTCATTTTGTTTCATTTTGTTTTTATAACACTTTCCTATCAACTCACGTATCGTGATGATCAGATAATCTTTTTCTCATTCCTCTAGTTCATCTTTCTCTCTTTTTTTCTCAATCAAGGAAGAAAATTCGGAAGTAATTCAACCAGATTTTACTTGATTGCTTAGTCATACGAGCTGTTACCGGTATTATCGGAACAGAACCAGCTGCATGACCAAATGGACCAGCTGCACCCATACAATGCATATTGATCGTTATTTTATTGATCTGTCTTCTAGAGCAGTTTGTGCACAAAGCTCCCTCCTTAATTTTCTTCTCTTTTTCCTTTTTTTCTCATCCTCCCGTTTTTCATCTCGGTAATCGATACAGTTCCCATACATTAATTTTTGTGCATGAAAACATCAGAACTATTACTCCAACTTGTACAACTTTCACCTGTCAGTAGGAAGTGAACGTCTCTAATTCATAAAAATTCGGCGGTGAAAGAACAGGAAAGAAACTCATTTACCTCTCAGCTTTTTGGCAATTTTTTTGGTTACTTTATGGCTTTTTCACTGGATTATCGATTGAGCACAAAAGGTCCCCTTGCCTATGCTGCTGCTGCGTGTGGCCACAGCAGCCGCAGCAGCTTCAGCTTCAGCAGCAGCCTCCCCCGCAATTCATGCGTCCTACTACCACTAACACTCGCACACCCAGAAACTATAATTCTATCTCTGTTTACCATGCTCTCTCGCAGTTTGTACCAATCTCTGGCACTCTCTCGTTTTCACATAACGTCTGTGCTCAGATTTAGCCAGTCTTCACCGAGAAACTCTTAATCTATCCAGCCAGACATTCTGTCTTCTTCCTTTCAGCCTCATTCTTTCCTGGCACTTTTCGACATCTCTTTTGACTTCCTCTTTCTTTCTCTTCTCTCCTTCTTTTGACTTCTCTGGATATGAGCGGACATACACACTCAAGCTTTCTGCATCTGCCCTCCCACTCTCTTTTTCTTCAGCGTTCTCTCATATGCTCCTTCCTCTCTTTTACTGGCTAAAAAGACTCCAAGCTTTAGACCTGTGCATTCCAAAAACGGAGAAGCTTTATACACCACAGAGTGAGGAGAGAGAGAGGAATGGAAGGAGAGGAAAACCACTACTGACCAACCGAAGCCGTGCTTTATTTGAAACAAAATATGAGATGGTTTCGAGATTTTATGGAAGCTCAAGGAAATAGAATATTCGTTGAACTACCAGTGAAAACGGAGTGTTATTAAAAAGGATGCACCCTTCTAGTTAAAACAGGAACGCTGGACGGTGCATTGGTGGTCGCTCTCCATTCACGCTTCGATCTGTTGTTTGAGATTGTCATTTTTTAAAAAAAAAGACAACATTGTTCATTATCGGCGTTTCGGACAGTTAATTATGAAAATATATATTTTTATCATACAAATTATTCTTTCGTTCGTTCTTCTCATTTGCGTGAAGCAGCTATCGGAAGAACAAAAACTTTTCCATTCCTGAATATGTTTATTAAGAAAATTATTTTCTTTTTTTCTCATTTTTTTGTACATTTGTCTGTGTCATCACATATTCACTCACATACAGCCTTATAATGCTCACATATATATATATATATATATATATATATATATATACATTTGTGTTATACATATAGAGTATATATATATTTATATATATATATGGATTGCTTGGAAATTTCCGTGACTCAAAAAATTCTTTGTCCTTTGAGCTTCTACCCATCTTCCTCAAATGGCGGCAAATTCAAATGTCAGTGTGGAGACAATGTTTAAAACATCTCTTTTTCATTTATCCAAACATTTTGGAGATTCTTCAAATACAATCATCTGAAAATCATCAGATAATCTCCATACATTTGGCCATTTGGACTTGATGTTAAACGAAAATACCCAGCTGTGTCCATAAAGCCAGTATTTCATATATCTTTCGATCAGATTACATTTTTTTTTAAAGTTAACAAAATATTTTGTTCTTCTCTTTTTCTCTTCTTTATATATTTGGTCATCATGAATTGTTTTCCAACTCTCTCTCTCTCCCTCTCTCTCTCTCTCTCTCCTTCTCCCTCTCATCTATAATCCATAGCCAGTCGACTAATGCTCAATTGACTGCTTGGAAGGTCGCCCATTTCAGAAGGTTAACCGCTCATCAGCCTCATGGGTCGGGTGAGCTGTGTCCTGAGAGAATAGCCAACCATTAAAGCCATTCCTTATATGGTTTGAGGGTTCTAAGGGTAGGTTTGAGCCGGCTGAGGTTATTGGCTATGCTGCGCCTTGCCAATTATTTCCATCGATTGCTCATGAAGAGATGGTAGAGAGTGAGGCAAATGTGCTAGATGAGAGTGGAAGAGATGGAGAGAAGAAGGAACGGGAGAAGAAAAGAGGAGAAATGAGAAAGACTGAGATGAAAACATAAAACATTATGAAGAGAATAAGTAGAGAGAGAGAGAGAGAGAGAGAGAGAGAGATGGAGAGAGATGTAGAGGATGCAAAGGAACAACAGAAGCAGAAACAGCAGTAGTAGTAATGTGTATGAGTAGTAGAAGGAAAACGAAGATGGGAAATAAATGACTGGAGACAAATGTATATAAGAATATATCTGGAACGAAAAATTTTCCATCGTTTTTTTGTTCAAAATCGAAACTACTAAAGCAAACAGTATCCTATAGGAGAGAGAGAGAGAGAGAGTTTGAATGGGTGTAACAAACAAAATTATCAAAAATAGCTTTTCAAAAGCCACATATCCTCCTTAGGCATTTTATAAAAAATTTTAATAGTCTTTCTCGACGGAAATAATCTCTTTTCAAATGATTAATTCAATCACCAGATCCGAGTAGGCGTCGAAGATAGAGAGAGATAGATAGAGAGTGAAGAAGTGATTAAAGGGAAAAAATGTGTTTTCCTTTTCTTGAACCAAAAAAAGGAGGATGAATGATCAAATTTTATATTTTCTTATATAGATCATTCGTTTAGTCATTTATAACTGAAAAAGACATAATATATTACATTTTCGGATAGATATTTCCGTTTTCTTTCCCTCTGCTTTGCTAGTCGAATACCTTCTCCACTTCGGCTTCTGCTGCCCGGCAACGCGAACGAAAACATAGCTTGAGAATCGAAAGCTAGAGCTTCATATTGCTCTTAGTTCAATAAGCTTTTTCAAGAAGAAAACATGATTCTATCATTTTCGATTTCATATTTTCAACTGAACTACAAAGTGAAGAAATGAAATGAATCAATCAGCCTTTTTCTAGTTTTTCTCTCTTTTTGAACCCAAATTATTATTTTTCTCAAACAATTCTCATGAAAGTTATAAAAATGATTTGTAAGTAAGCAGATTATGTAAGCCATACTAGTTAATATGCTGTATATGTTATAATCTATTGTTGGTTTCAATAGCTGATTCTACGCCAATTATCATTGCTGATAAGTTTTTTTTCTTTGAAACTCATTGATTTGAATTGATTCATCGAGGTAATCGTTTTGAATACTTGTGAGTGAAGCTGAACTGGCACTGCTAGTCATATCCTCAATGTCTCACTCAATTTCTCTCTATTTCGTTTCTTCCTATGATTTCTTCTGACATCTCTTGACAAGCTGTTGCTAGCTTTCATTTCGATCTATTATTTCCATTCCATATCGATTTCCTTTGTTGCCATATTCCTGTTGTTGTGTACAGATTGAGCTTTTTTGAGCTTTTTTTTGGTGCATATCTCTTGATTAGGAATGAAAGCATGATTAGCCATCTTCTTCACTAACTCTCTCGAAAACATTCAATATTTCGTTTACATAACCTCTTTTTTGTTTAATTTCATATGTTTATGTAATAAGCAAGTGTATTCAGTAACTTTTCTATAATATATTGGAAAAAATCGTTTTAGTTAGTCTCTAAGCCACAGATTTTCGATGTTGAAAACTCATTTGATAGTACTCCCATACTTCTAGTGAGTGGAAGCAACCGGTCCTACTATGCCAACAAAATAAAATGAGCGTTTTTCACGGCTTTTGCGTCACTTTCTCGGCTTCCTACACGTGAATATATACGTTTAAGTTAATTCAGTGCCTGATGATTCTAATTAACATGTTCGTTTATTATTTTCTATTACTTAGATGAATATGATAGTTGTAAGCTTATTCTTCTATTTGACTCCTTCATTCGATTATCAGTTGATAAGAAATGGAGTTTGAATTGCATTCACAACATTTCCATTTATGAAAAAAGCATTTGAAAGGTTATTTTTGACAACAATTCGTACTGTTGATTTTGTTTAATTTTGCAATCATATGAAGGTTTCATGCTTATCTCTCATTGATTTTCCGGAAGATATTTCCTTTTCTGGCTTCTCTTTTGCCATCGTTTACATTTGCAACAATTGTTTTCAGTCTTCTTCATATTGAATGATTCGAGTTGTGCAAGTACACATCATAAGTACTGGCTCTAATTGTTTTTATTTTCAATATTCTTATTTGTTTTATCGTTTTTTTTTATCTTTCAATCTATTCCGAACTCAAATATAACTTCTTTTATTCTTTCAGAAAACTCGTGCTCATCTGCGATAGTGTGTGGCGCCGAACTGCGCTGTTCTCAACATGGGGTGCACCATGTCGCAGGAGGAGCGCGCAGCGCTCGAACGGTAAGGAAACCTAACCACTAGTATGAACAAAATTTGAAAATTTTCAATCTTTGAACTGAAGTATTAGAACAATCAATAGTTATGATAAATTAATGCATAAAAAGCGGATATTAGAGGAATAATGCAATTCAATTAGCATTAACTTCCTAAATAGGAGATTCTGCCGAACGTAATGATATAGCTAGCGTTTGTAAATATTTCGATTCCTTTAACGAGGTTGTGAAATGCCTAATTATGTATTTGATTTATTTCTCTGCTAAAAAAAAAGGTTCCTTAAGATTTTTTTATTTAAGCTTCGTTTTCAAATGTAAGCTCTCTTATTTTTTGTCTTTTAGATCAAGAATGATTGAGAAAAATCTGAAAGAGGACGGCATGCAAGCTGCTAAGGACATCAAGCTTCTTCTACTAGGAGCTGGAGAATCCGGAAAGTCAACCATTGTTAAGCAAATGAAGTAAGAAATCGTGAAGTTCTGTAGTAAATACTCTCATTAACAGGATTATTCACGAGTCTGGATTCACAGCGGAAGATTACAAGCAGTACAAGCCAGTAGTTTACAGCAATACCGTACAATCTCTCGTCGCTATTCTTCGTGCCATGACTAATTTGGGTGTTGGATTTGGTGCAACAGAAAGAGAGGTATTGTCGAATGTTTTTATCTACATTAACGAGAGTCAGCAGCGAAGTTCTCATATTTTTTGCTAAAATAATATGTTCTCAATAGCCGACTGATTTGTTTTGTGACGGAAACTGCCCATATTTGAGTAAGGCGAGAAGGCAACTGAAAAATTTAATTTTATGTTCTGTTGTGGCTTTGGATTAACGATGCCTTCGCACGCTGACAACATTTCGATTGGCCAATCAGAATTCAACAGGCTTAAGGGTTTAGAAAAATGAAGATAGACTAAAATGGAGTTAAGCGGAGAAAAGAGCAAAATGATGGATGGGAGTTGAAATGCAGTGATGAAAACCTTCGAATCTCAACAATTTACTTTTGTGACTTCGTAAGAAACGTTTTGAACTTGTAAGTATGTATGAATGATATCCATGGCGCTATATGGAATATGTGAGTTCATGTCGAAAACGCGTCGCCTCGGATGATTGCTAATCCAATTATTTTGCCTTTAGACGTTATTCAGACGAAAAAAAAAGATTATTGAAAAATAACACAAGAATAATATTAGAGGAAGAAAAGAATATCTCTGAAGGATCATAGATGATGGAGCATATGAAAGATGGGAGAAAGAAAAACTAGAAAAGAAGGGATCCGAACTATTGAATGATACGACTAATGGGAAAAACTGCTTTCTTAACTCCTCTGATAAATATCTTAACTCATTCAAAGAGATAAGTCATCCAAGGAAGAGGAGAGAATTTTGTTTGAATTCTCTTTCAATGTTTACATAACACAAGCAAAAGAAAGAAAACAACTGTGGAAAACTATTGAGTAAAATATATATTGGGACTGAAACTTTCTTTTCAGATTGACGCCAAGTTAGTTATGGATGTTGTGGCTCGAATGGAAGACACTGAACCATTCTCGGAAGAATTGTTAGCCGCCATGAAACGACTATGGGCAGACAATGGTGTTCAGGAATGTTTCGCTAGGAGTAACGAATATCAGCTCAACGATTCAGCCAAATAGTTCGTTTCCTTATCTTGTACAATCAAAAAATCTTCAAAGAGTGAACGTACGTAGAACTTTTTCGCATCAACAAAGCATATAAGATACGCATCTCTCTCTCTCTGTCTGTTTTAGATGCAGTACGTGAGATTGTTGTTCCATAAAGTCAGTTACTTGAGACTGTGCACAGCAACTGATAGCTATTTTGATGAGATTAATTGAAACAAACTGCAAAATCGAGCATCTCTCATCTGATTAAAACAATTCTTGTTCCGTCTTTTGATTTTCAATTACAAATTTTTGATTCTTTCTTTTTGTCTATTCTTATTGAGAAAACTGTTTTGTATTAGACTGATGTTGCCTTTTCAAGAAGTTCTAATCGAAACAAATATTTTCTTAAATAGAAAAGAAGACGATTGAAATACAAAGCGATGAAAATAACAAAAAGGAGCATAAAAATATTGTTGAAAATAGTTTAACTGCCAGCATGATCTCTGATATTATAGCTTCTTGGATGATTTGGAGCGATTAGGAGAATCTACGTATCAACCTACTGAACAGGATATTCTTAGGTAAGCAACTGTTCTCAAGATCATGTAACTATATATTTCATTTAAGGACTCGAGTAAAGACAACCGGTATCGTTGAAGTACACTTCACTTTTAAGAATCTCAATTTCAAGTAAGATAATGGATAAAGTCAATCAGTTCATTTTTCTTGTTTTTCAGACTCTTCGACGTAGGAGGTCAACGATCCGAACGGAAGAAGTGGATTCATTGCTTTGAAGATGTTACAGCCATCATCTTCTGTGTTGCTATGTCGGAATATGATCAAGTACTTCATGAAGACGAGACAACAGTAAGTAGTTGATGAGCATCTTCTCAAAAACAACACTTGGATGTCAAAAATTAATTTTTGTCTTTAAAAGCACGTCAGTGAACTTTCTGTGGAAAGCAAGACGGCTATAGAAAGAGTTTTGCAAATAGTAGTTGTTTTGTATAACTTATTTTAAAATTCACAGGAAAAAGACTAAATGATCCATTCTAATTTCTTTTTCTTTCAGAATCGTATGCATGAATCGTTGAAGTTATTTGATTCAATTTGCAATAACAAGTGGTTCACGGATACTTCCATCATTCTATTTTTGAACAAAAAAGATTTGTTTGAGGAGAAGATTAAGAAAAGCCCTCTGACTATCTGTTTCCCTGAATATACTGGTAAGTCATTATAACATTCTTTTCTTCTCCCCCCCCCCCCCCCCCCCCTTAGACAAAAGAG